TGTCTTTAAGAGTGAAATAACTGAGTGCTAGGAAATACAAGAGGCTACCATTCTTCTTCTTGTGATCCAATCAGGAACTACACTTTCAGAGTACCGGCAGCTTGAAAGTAACTGGAAAGCTTAAAATAATTTTTTTGAAAGATGCAGGACTTTACTTTAAACATCCGTTTTTAAATGTATAGTGGAGTTTGAAATACAAACAAAAGCAAATACCTATTTAAAGCTAGACAGTGTGGTATTCATAGGAATAACTGAGTATCCTCCACTTTGAGAGACGGTGATAACTGGAATTAAAAGTGCAAAATTAAGAAGTTGAGAAAGCAAGAAATGAAAGATTTTTGTTTCCCTTCCTCTTCTCACTGGTTTTGCTGGGGGGATATTTTAAATCATGTGACTGTAACTGAATGTGAGATGCTACAGCGGTGCCAGAGGGATTTAATAACACAGTATGAGCGAACAAGTCCACTGAGTCATCAGTCAGTCATTATCTTCCTGATGTATGTACTGAAGCATCACATGCACCTCAGCACTGGTAGCAGGTAACGACCTTAGACCACTTTTTACAGAATTTCAGCAGAATAGTTTGATTTCAGTGCTCAAAACCTGAAAAAATGCTTATTTTTAAGCTGTTTATCTGCTTGCTAATGTGCCAAATAAGGCAAATACAACATGGCCAAAGTGGTACCAGAAATGTCAACACATATCAAAGGATGTTAACACCCTTCAAATTGATTCAGTCATAATATTAGTGAGAGGATGCTGCCAAAATGCATCGGAAACACATTAAGAAATTAAAAAATGAAAAGAGAAAATCTGCTGCGAGCTGTGAGGATTATTCTGACATAAACAATCATCAATATCTTTCTTTTTTCCTTCTCTGCTTTTTGTAATTCTTTCTCTTGTCTTTACCTCCATGTAGTTTGACTTCAGGTAATAAAAATGTACATATATTGAGTTTTGGTCAGCTCTGTGATCTATAGCTTGACAAAAACAAAAAACCAAAAACATTATTCCCCTTTACTACTGTGTCACATACAATCTGGCAGTAGTCTCCATCACTGCGTAGTCAAGAGATTAAAATGTTTCTGTCCCCTCAGGGCTTCTGGAGCACTAATTAAGCATGGTCCCTATTGTTGAAAGATTTAGATGGCTTCAACTGGAAAGAAAAATGAAAGGGAAAAAAACAACACACACACACACACACACACACACACACACACACACACACACACACACACACAAAAGGTGGCTGGCGAGCACCGCAGACAGATGTCCCAGATAGAGGATGCATATTAAATTCATGAGCGATATCATTTAAAAATTGGCCAGCTAATATTAAATTTCTCCACCAGCACCCTCTGTATCCAATATCCCTCTTACAGCCTTTTCCAGATACAGACTTAACAACGGATATAGTAACAGCCAGAGCAAATTACATGTTTGCCCCTTTAGTCCTCCTGTCCCCACATGGCCCTAGCGTGCTGGAGGAAAAGCCTTAGTCAACAGTGAGAGCACCAGAGGGTGGATGAGCTGCAGGAGGGATAGTTACTGTAGCCATGGAACCGACAGTAATAGTGAGTCTCCTGCACTTCCCAGAGGAAAGGAGATTAATAATGGATGATCCACTGCTGAAACTGAACTGAATGTGTGGAGATGTGGCCAGACAGAGTTGGCTTGATGGTTTTTGAGAGCACGTGCACTTCAAAAGCTAAAAAGATGCACACTCGGGCTCTTTGACGAAGAAAAAAAACAATAAAAAATAAAAGTGATGCTGGAGGTGCTTTTATTGCAAGTCATGACTCCTGGGACCTGGTATTCCTGAACTACCATCTGTTCCTCATCGGCTTCTCCTTTGGTTGCATGTAATTTCGATTAAGTTGCATGTAATTTCAAATCCTGATACAATGGAAACGCACTGGAAAGTCTGAGATGTCTCACCTGTGAGTGAACAGTGCTGTGGTCAGCATGAGATTCTCCACAACCCACGTAGGCGCATCCATTCTACGGAGAAAATTAAACAGGGGATGCAGAAAAATGAATGTGCAGTCTAATGCGGATACTTTTTCACTAAGCAAGAGCAGCATTTTCCAGCAGCAAACATCGTCTTACCTCCAAACAAGCCCATAAATTTGGTCCACCAACTTTACAGTCTTGGCACTGGCCCTAGAAAAATGT